AATTGTGCAACAATATACTACGTTAACGTTTGGTGTAGCCCTTCTCGCGTGAGCGAGAGTTGATTTTAAGCATTTAATAATCGCGTTAACAGTGAATGTATATCTTGTTTGCAACCAACGAATCATTGAAAATATGCGCGAACAGGTGTTGTTGTGATGGAAGATATCGTCTTTCCTCAATATTGAACATTTTACCTCAATTGTGCGCTTTAATCGCATTGATGGTTGACATTGTTGACGAATACATTCATATCCTTCACAATTCAATTTAATTCACAACAATTCACGGGATATATTTAATGTTCGTATACAAAAACGAACCAACTATTCAAAATCAAACTGTATACATTTTAGAATAAGAGTTAATATGATGCTTTATTAGCATTATATTAACTGTAATAAAAAATCTTATCGCTATTTACATTTCACTAAATATTTCATTGAATGCAACGATGGAAAAAGCAAAATTTCAACTGAACGTAGCCCTTGATGGTGTATTGACTTCATTGGCTGTTTATTTTTAGCTGATAAGATGAATAAGATAAAAAGTCATATCTCGACAATTCAAATAATTTTTCGCCTATGATATTTTTTGCTATTTAAGCAAGGCAGCCGCTTAGGACTTCTTTTATTTATTTATATAAATCAATGATCCCCACTCGTTGATTAAATTCAACCACATCTTAAGGTACGCTGTTGATGCAAATCGTTTTCTTTCTTCTTGTTGGAATCGCATTCGTATCAACGTCAAACTGACTTCAATAATTTGGTCATTAAATTTTATGAAATTAAATCTAAAAAAATGCAAAAAGCTTTCCTACTGAAGGAGAAATTCTTTTAATACTGAGCACTTCATCGATTTACAAAAGTTGGGGAACGTTCATCATAGGAGTTCGATTCGAGTATATATTACGTTTTAATTTCCACATAAACCCTCCTTTAAGTAAAGCTAGGTCGGCGTTAGGCTTATTAAATGATGATCTATAGAACATCATGATCCTTAGATTACAAAAAGTCTATACATAAACTTAAAAAGGCTAATACTTGAATTTGTCTCTATTGTCCCATAGCCGTTAAGTTGATTCAACAGAATCTGTTCAAAAGCAATTCTTGCTAATTGCCCTTTAGCAGTTTAGGTTGGCACCCACGTGTCTCTCTGTCGCCTTATGAAAATAGATTGCTTCTGTTAGATTTGCCCACATTACTTGGTGACATAGTCTTTGGTTTGCCGAATCGTTTCTCTAGAAATTTTATCTTCCTAAAGCTTAATCTCAACATCGGACTCTTTAAATTCTATCGAAGCAACTATCCTTAACACGCTGGATTTGCCTATGTCGTATTTAAACTAACTTGGAATCTTTACAGCATACTATGGTTAAAAAATGAAATTGTTTTATTTACTGTTATCTGCTGCCAAGCTTCTGCATGTCAGCAATGTCTTAGGGGTTCGAAATTTGGATGTGTACCGGCTGTGGGTGTGCGTCTGTGCTGGACATGTGCATGCTTTTTTTTCTCCCATGAATTTTATTTTTCTCTTTTCTTTTTTTCTTTATTTCTCTTATATACTTTGCATTAGTTTTTAATAATAATTAATACGACTTTTAAGAATACTTTTAGTATTATTTTTAAGAATCAATTGAATTCGTCTGTTAATATGTTTTAGCTGAGTTTTATGGCACACTTATGGTTAAAGGGCACGTTGATTTTTGCTATTCGGGCATATTTCAATGCAAGCACAGTTGTCACCCGACACATCAGAATCATATAGATTCATCAGTGGGGTTTGGATAACGGTTGCCGAATCACGGGGAGAGGGTAACTTTAGATCAGTCATCTCAGGTTGATTATCACTGGTGGCGGCCGGAACGACACTATTTAATACATTGATCTCCGAAGTGATGTCTAGCTTGAGCTTTTTCACTGGCATATCAGGGGAAGCTAATTTACGTGTTTGCTTTTTTTCAAAATCGTTGAATACATTTAGCTTAGTTGTGAACCTTTTCAATTTGTTTTCCGAGATAGGTGATTTCCCGCATTGAGGATGCTTTTTGTATCGAAATATTATTATTATTATTATTATAAATTTAGCCAGAGAATAAATTCTAAGACTAAAGTCTTAAAGCACTAGCATCTAGGGCTATCGGCTTTTTATTAAAAAACTCTACCGCACTTGAGATTTGAACCCACGACTATTGAGTTGCTAGTCGAGACTCTTGCCTACTCGGCCACTCAGGCGGATGTGTATCGAAATAATATTATCAACTGTGCAAGCAGAACGCTTCTCAGCCAGCACTTGCTTCAGTCAGGGATCTAAAGTCGGTTCAGTATTAAGATCCGCTCCGTTATAATTTAAACTGAATAAAGAAGATGATGCAGCGGGAAGAACGAGTAAAAAAAGTTGAATCAGCAGGAGAGCTCCGCTTCACACCAATAGGAAGGGAAGTTGGCAACAGACCGCGTTTGTGCTTATTTAAGTCACAAAGTACGCTTTATATTGCAATTAAGTTAAAGTTTTTCGATATTTTAATTTTATAAAAAAAAGTATTTTAGAGTAAAGGAGAAAAAACTGCGTTGTTTCCGCGCAGCGCTGCCAGGTTAAAAATTTTATAATAATAGAAAGACTTCTAACAACAATAGAACAAAATTAAATCTTGCAACAACAAAAAAGAAAAAAATTGAGAATTTATGTTAACGAAGACATGCATTGAATTTTATTCTCAAAAAGACATTTTAAATAATAAAAGAAGTACGTATATGCAATATTTCTAATTCTGAGAATAAAGGTAGCTTTCCTGTACGCTTTTTATGAAAGGTGGGTGTTTTTGACTTTGCTGAGATTAAAATTAAAAAATTAATTTTCGTCACATGTTTTTATTACTGTTTTTTTTTTTGTAAACATATTATTGTTATTTCTTTTTTTTTTTTGATAATTTCGCGCGTTTACGTAATAATAAAAAGTAATCTATTCAATTAAATAAAACCAAATTAAATCGAATTTATAAATAAAGTAAATATATATAATAAAATATATATAAATAGAAATCAATAAACTTTAAAAATACGGAAATGCTTTATATATTATTATTATTATTTTAATTTTAGACTAATGAATTGAATTCTTAGACTAAAAAAAGAGACATTGAGCACTAGCAACACAGGCTATCGGCTTTATATAAAAATATAGACTTGTTAAAAAAAAAGTACAAAGTTACATTAAAAATAATAAAACCAATCAAACCTCCAATAATACAAACTAAAAAAGTTTTTTACGTACAAGGGAATAATATTATTATAGTATTAGGAACAATTATTCAGTTAACTCTTTCATAAAATAATTGTGTTATTCTTTTTAACCTTTGTAATTATTAATCTTACCAATTTATCTTACCCATCTTATTAAGCCTAAGTGTCTTAAAGTCTTAAAGAATAATTTTTTTAAAACAAAAATTGCCTCATCTATTAAATAAAATTTTAAAAAAAATTAAAATCAAATAAAATTAATAAATAAAGTAAAAATAATTATATAATAAAACAAATAATATAACTATACTTTCAATTAATATTATAATAAAATCAGCTTTTTTAATATATTTAAATAAAATACATAATATCTCCATTCGTCAGAGATGGAGAGAATATAATTATTGTTGAAGGTCTCGCAATTTTTCTATCAAAAGTGGTGATTTAATGGTAGCTACGCTGCCACTACACGCTACATATATTCTTTATAGGCTTTACTAAGGAAACGTTATATTTATTTTCTTTTTTAAGTTGTCAGTTTACTCAAGTTTTGCATTTTGCGGAAATTAATCTTCATTATTTACAATTACACCTTCATTACTTACAATTACATTTTTATTATTTTCATTACTTTAATTTATATTTCGATTTTGCGGAAAACTACGTCTATTTTACGGAAATTCAAATCCATTTTGGGGAAAATTATTTCCGTTTTATGGAAATTTATTTTGATTATCGAAACTAATATGCCTAATATATTCTAAGTTTGTTCATATTGATGGCATATTGTCGTCCATCTCATCCATCATTCCGTCCATTTTGCTCAGATTCATTTGTTCCATTTGTTTCACTTCTTATTTTGATGGGCTATTTTTTTCAGCTGTGCCTACATAAAGTGTTGGGACCGCATCTGCGTCCGATAGAGGATCAAAAATGGCATTTGTTATGTATTCTGGTAAAAATTGCGTATCGCAAATGTAATAAATTTTCTTCTATTTTAAAACATTTAATAAATTTAAGCAATTTTGCAATTTTTTTGCAGAGATTTTCAAAACCGACCTTTTTGCAACAGTTTTTTTTTATTATATTTGCATTTTCATACCATACACGCTTTTGCGACCATTATGCAATTAAATAATAATTTATATAACAATAATAATAAAAATGATAATAATAGTGTAGCAATAAAAAGAATAAAATAAGAAACAATTACATCTAGGAAATGTAAGAGAGAAATTCGATAAATATGTTCACTTATTTAAATCATCTTTTACCGCAACAGAAAAATTATAAAAATTTAAAAGAGAAAAGAATAAAAGATCTTAATTTGCACTTTCTTCCGAAACTCCGAACTATAAAATATTTTTTTTTTTTTTTTTGGTATGTTGAATGGAGATGGACCAAGCCAATAGATTTGTAGCTTATATGTCCAAGTATAAAATATATAGTAAAAATTATTTTTTCATTTTGCAATGCTTTGAATCGCGCGCTTTACGAAAACTAATAAAAAGAGCAGCTTTTCATTTGCTTAAACATATGTTTAAGAATCAGGTGTTTTCTAATGTTACAGCTGTTATAATTACAGACGTGTTTTAAATTAAATAAAATGAAATGAGCGAAACAAAAAGAATATGAGAAAAAATGAATGAGAGGGAAGAATCGTCAAAATATGCGCTAAACAAGGGTAGAGCAAAATTTTTTTGATTTATTTTGCAGCTTTTGCTATCGCGAGAGTTTGTGCGGAATGCGCGGAATAATATACGTAAATATATAAAAAAAAAAAAAAAAAAAGTATTAACATATAATAAATGGTTCCGTGTCAAAATTTTCTACTACAATATTTACTAGTTATCTACTCGTTTGAAAATCTTAATTCAATTGATAATAAATAAATAAAAAAATCATTGTCTGGACGGAATTAATTGTACGCTTGCACGTACATGCCTATGTATATGGAAAGTCAATAAGATTTTGTACAGCATGTGTGTGTTTCGTTCAGTGAATGCTTTTGAGTGCGTGTTGCTACAATAAAGCGTGTGAACGTGCGTTTCATTACATATCAATATAATTTAAATATTTTCCTAAATTATTTTCATTATAAATATAAATATAGATATAAAAAAAAAAGAAAATTAAAATCAATTACAAAACAAAAAAAAAAAAAAATTAAAATAATATGGAAGAAACCATGAGACGTAATATACTGATTTGGTTAACTTTGCTCGCCGTTCAAACTGTCTTTGGCATGTGGGGTAAGTCTTGGCTTCGGCACGACATGACAACCTGATTATTTGGAAGAACATTTCTACTAAGAATTGATAGTCCAAAGTATATTCGAAATATTTTTTTCTACTTTTCTTGTTACACAATATTGACCGGGCGTTAAATAATAGTTTAAGACATATATGAAATAAACATTTCTATCAATGTTTGGCATTTGCTAAACAGAAACATATTGCGCTTTAAATGCGATTTTTTTTAATCTTCGAATTGTGAAAAAAGAAAAAAAAAAAAAATGCGTTGAGAGAATGTTACGCAACTGCAATTGTGCATAACTGTAAATAATGATCAAAGTATTGTGGTGGCGTGGACATTTCTACTTAATAAGCTTTAAGATTATGAGTGTAGCATCTAACAGCAAAGCGAAACACTCTTGCATATAAGTAACTGCATACATTTAACATAATTTGCAATGTTTGCATAAAAATCTTCTTTAATGTTCATTTCATTGAGTAACCGTCAAGTAGGGTTAAAATATTTTTTCGCTATAGAATAATGAGATAATAGTTAGCTTTAAAATTATATGATACTATCGAAAAATAATAAAATAATCATGTTGTTATCAGATTTGGTACGAATAGGCTATGGGATGAATTTTTCTCAGGAAAAATTAAATTAAATGTGTTTACTTTATGTATGTTTATAATTTGCACATACATATTTATCACCTTTCTCCTCTTTCAATTTTCTGATAATTCCACTAAGATATCAAAGAAGTTTTTTGTATTTGTAGAATTATTTTGCAGAATTGGAAACTTAAATAAATTTCAAAGCATTAATTATGTTTTCTTCGAAAGCGCGCATTTGATATCTAATAGAATTTCTCGAGAACTCTCTAGCTAGCTATCTCTCTCTCTCTCGCTCGCTCTTTGTTTTTTTGGTTTTTTTTTTTTTTGCAAAACTCTCCACCTATTTTTTCATTCTAGACTAAAAAAACGTTATTTACCACTGCTACATAGCGCCATTATTGTTTTCATTTTGGTCACGTATGCCAATACCGAGACAATTCATCTACCTTACATATGTTCGAGTTTCATTCTCTTCGCCCGACGTACAAGAAGCAGTCATTTGCGTGATAGAAACTTCACACGTGGCTTAAGTTTTGTAAAACGACCACGATTTCACGAAAACGTTTGTTTACATCTTTGCCATAACAAAATTGGTTTTGATAAAATGAAATTTAATTGAAACTAAAATAATTCGTGCATAGTGGAAATTGTGGTGGTAATGTATTAGAGGAGGAATGAATACATTTTAGCTCTTAGAGAGAACAAGACAAAGCGTTTGTAAAAGGGCAAAATAAATGCTCTCGTTGTGGCAAGAAACAACTGGATGCCACCAAGGTCATTTTACGACTGCCTTACAATTAGTGCAGTTTGTCAGAACTTTTCATTTGAAGTAGTTTTCGTCCTTAAAGTGAGACTGGAAAGCATAACCTTTTTATTGCTACTCTCATATACATTTAATTGTGTCATTCTAAGACTTCATCTTAAAAACGTAGCATTATTTTCATGTTAAGATACTTTTGCATATCTTACCCGTAAACTGACTAGAAACGATTGTCCTTCTTCCCTACATCGGGATACTTTTCAGCTGATACAGAAGATTTGTATGATATTTAGCGAATATTGTTTTGCTTAACTGGTGTGACGGCTCCCTTCTCTGGGACAATTATGGCTAAACCATTCATTCATAATAAAAATTTTTGTAAAAAAGTGGTTGAATTCTACTCGATATAATATCTTTTGTCTTCCGCTTTAGTAAGGATTTGGGATTTCCGTAACAGTACTATATACCCAATGCGGCGAATATCATACGAGAGTTGCAGAACTTCAGCACATAACTTTCAGATGAAAGGGCATAGTTGACAATTTAAAATATTCTTGTGTTCTCGAGCACCTGATCTTCCTTACGACCACCCTTTTAGCAATTCGGCTGCATTCGCTCCAATAAAAATTACAGGACGACACGTTAAATGTTTATTTATACGTTTTATTAACCCGTAAACAGACGAAGGCTAGGTAAACAGAAATTGACACACAATTGTATTTTTGGACGACTTCATCTGCCTAAAGTGAATAAAGTCAGAACTCTTTCACCAGAAAGTATACAATACATCAACATATCGATCAATAAGTCCCGGGACTAACAAATAAATTGCGTTACTAGCAAAAAAATCTATATCACTTTTGGAAAGCGTGAATTGTTAAACAAAGTCTACCAAAATTCCACATCACTTCGATCACATCTTCACCAATCGCAGTGGGCACTGCTTTTGCTATCTTCAATACAACGCAAATATCTAAATTTTGTGTATTATCAAATATTGTTGTTTGGTGGAAAAACTCAGCGAACGCCCAAAAGAAGTGGTTGCACTAGGAAACGTTGAAAGAAGAAATTGCAAAGAAAAAATGCATCTCTTCTTACTTAGTCCTCAAACTTATTGATCGTGATGGCAACTAACAATGAGTGGTCACACATTCTTTTGCTAAATATTCTATTTATATACATTTTTACAAGCATATATGACTATAACTAAATTCATGGCTTCATTTTTAATCCGATAACCTGCTTTCCCGCGAAAGTTATTCATCGGCCGAGACAGCTGCATGACGCGCCTGCGAATGTGCACTTGGTTTTTTCCCTATCCGCTTTTCCGCTAATCGATTTCATCGGCCGAGACAGCTGCATGACGCGCCTGCGAATGCGCATTTGGTTTTTCCCTCTTTAGTGAATTTATTATTTGGGAAAATTAATTAGCTGGAATGATCTGGATTTGGGATTTCCATAACAGCACGTTCGTTGAATGTGTGCACCGCCTGAATATATGCATTTGGAGGCCTTCTATAAAATATGTTTGTATTCTTGATCAGCTTAAATAGCGATACCGAGTTAATCATGTTTCTCACTTTTCATGCGCGTAAGTCGTTATAATCTCAAGATCTTGTCTAAAAGGAAAATTTATTCTTAAATCTTTCTTCATTCCTCGTCAGCTTAATTAAGAATTCATCTAAATTCATGCTTGCTTTGGCCGGTAATTAACGAAAAATTTTATTTCAAATTAGAGAACATAGTATATAGTGTTGGGTGCGCCATGAATTATGTAGGAATATAAATTGCAACATTTACGATGTGCTGGATACATGTGCCGAGCTTGGGAATCTTTTTCTCTGTTTCGCTATCAAATATCACATACAACTGTAGGTTAGATATTAAATGATAACATATACCTTTTTTGTTTGTTTTTTGTCCTTGGAACACTTTGCAGGTGTTCAGTGAGTTGTCGATGTTCTTTCTGTACGCAAACGCGCTAAACATCGGACTATTCTATCACCATTCTTGCGCACCTTGACCAATAGATAGATTAGAAGCAATGTAACTACAATCGAACCGAACCCTTTCGCGTTGATAAAGGAAAATTGCAAACTATGTCACTGCTTGATTTGTGCTTATAGGTCTTACTACGGATTACAATATATGCAGAGGTGGGTAGAAAAACTTGAACGAGTTGTATTTTTCCGTTTTCCGTATGCCATAAAAATTGTGAAAGCTAGCTTCCACAAAGCTCACACAACGTTTTTACATGTGGTAAAAGTGTCTAGAAACAATTCGCGAAATTCCACGTGAGCTAGTTCTTGCAATAAAGAGTTGAGGGCTTTTTTTATGTTGCTTTAGTCGATTTTTTCCGCTGGACATTGAAATAGGTTCGTCGTCTTTAAAGTCATGAGAAGTAAATCGTAGTTTTTAACAAAGTTATGCGATGTGAACTAATTTTTATGATAATATTAGATGGATAGTGTAAATCATTGTATCGAAGAAGGAGGACGAGCAGGACATCAGTTTCGAAATCTGAGAAAAAAAACGTACAAATTCGTTACCGCTTCACTAGGTCGGTCCGATGACTTCGCCACGAATCGTTTGAACCCATAAAAAAGTATTAACAGATGCAGAGCAATTAAAGAAACCTCTCCTGGTACCGATAGTCAGATGATAATTTTAGCAAAGCGAGATCTTTTCATTCCGTATCATTCCGAACTGCTCGCCGTGCCAATCTATCAAATAGGAATAGCTCAGATAATTCCTTTGCTTAGAACATATAACTTCGCCTCAGTCTATAAACATTGATGCAGATAAGAATGCGAAAAAGAAATGGCGAATTACGCTTTCGAGCGACGAACAAAAAATAACTATGTTTGGGAATGATGCGAGAAGAAATGTACTTCGGTCAAAATGAAGATATCTTGTGATGTGAGATCGCCTTTCTTGGGAGAAGGTCTATCTGATATATTTCGAAAAACCCTATGGATGGCTATAAATATAAAAACTTGTTGGAATCTGTAACAGTACTTCACAGTACCCCCATGAAATATTCATCCAATTTATTGGGAACGTGATCAAACTCAATCCTACTGCGAACATTTGGAGAGCACTGAGGCAATAGAAAAAAATTATGGAAAGATATTCAGAGAATATGATAGAGAGATCTGCGATAATTAATTGCATCTATGCCTACAAAATTCGTAGCTTAACTTCAAACCCGATAGTGATTATATCGGCTATTGATTGTCTGAATTGATTTGCAAACATATGATTACTTTTAAGTACAAAATATTGCCTTAATTTTTCAATTTTTTTTTTACGCCTATTTTTACTGTCCACGTGGAAACATGCGATGTCATCTTGATCCGGAGATCTTTTAAATTTTTGTTTATGCTTAACATAACTCCTAAATCAGTTTTAAATATGGATATGTTTTTGCTTTACAAGTAAGTGCTAAAGATAATGCAAAACAGTAGAGAAGTGGAGAAGAATATCATCCATCAATATAAAACAAGATACACCAATTGTACAATGATTATTATTATTACAAGCAGCATTAATATGCCAATAAGGTAATGAAGCCTCATGCGGCGCATTTGTGAGCAACTATGGTATATAGATATTTTATCGAAATACTGGTACAAACGTAATT